TTAATTGTCAATAGGAAATTGCAGTTCTGCAAGAGTGTCGATCTCCATATATCACCGATTATTATGGTTCTTTTCTGCATCAAACTAAGTTGTGGATAATAATGGAATACATGGCTGGTGGCTCAGTTGCTGATTTGGTAGTTGATTTATGAATTTTTTAATTTTCTTAATTATGTTCTTGTCTACATAGAATATTGTAACTCCAGATCTTCTCTGGATAATTTGATTTATCATTCATCATTCGTCAGTATCGACTTCGGCATAAAATACTTAATATAGCATCACCATCTTGATATTCCATATCTAAAATAGGACCATGAATATTTTCCCATTGAGGTTGTCGTGAATCAGCGATTACTCTGAACTGTGTCAGTGGTTAATTTCTTCCTTCATGTTGACGCAAATACGGCTTCCTTCCTTTTTCAGGCTATGACATGTTTTTGACTAAATATATAACTTTGGGTTGTGGCATATTTTTTTTTCCTCTTTCTTAATTATATAGCTTAAGGAACACAATGATTTGTTGCAGAGATTGAATTGAGTACCTATGCTGTTTTATCACTTGCAGATACAACCAAACCAGCCACTGGATGAAGTTTCCATAGCTTGTATTTTACGAGATTTGCTCCATGCCATTGACTATCTCCACAGTGAGGGAAAAATTCATCGCGATATCAAAGGTTTGTGTTACGGGCATGTCAATTAGTTAATCCGAATCAGGTCATGCCTACCTTTTGACCAGTCATTTGTTACTGATAATATTTGTTCTGTTGCATTTTATTCTTCATATGAAGGCGAGGTACAGCCTCGTGAGCCATTGCATTGACCTCCTGTTCTTCTTATTAATTCTTCTTCTTTCCTTAACCTGAATTCATTAAGATAATGGTTCTATAATGTTGTGGCAGCGGCAAACATTTTGTTGACAGAGAATGGCGATGTTAAGGTACAATTTTTGTGGCTACTGAAATTCATTATTTTGCACTGATACTGTTCTACAAATCTTACCTTTTGGTGGTTGAATTTAGTAGCTATCAGTTAATTACATTTACTATTGTATTTCATGTGATACAGGTTGCAGATTTTGGCGTTTCTGCTCAATTAACAAGGACAATATCGAGAAGGAAGGTATCATTTTCTTATTTTTGGATTATTTTCTTGAAATATGCACACACGCAAGTTGAAAATATACTTCGTTCTTTTCCTTTGGTTGGAAATTATGTCTGAATTTTTCGTCTATTTACTCTCTTCAACGCCCTGTAAAGTGTAACATATGATGATTCTCACCCTGCTCATACTCTCTTGAAGAGTTGGATTGCAGTGTTATCTCTTGATTATATTTTAAGCTGAGATTATCTATTCAAGGAGTCGTCAAACCTCCATCTAACTCAATTAAAAGTCAGACTTTCGTAGGAACACCATTCTGGATGGCTCCAGAAGTAATTCAAAACTCGGACGGATACAATGAGAAGGTAAATCTTACCCATTGTCCATGGGTACCCCCATACAATTTCCCTGTTCTGTTTATATTATTTGCAGATAAAATTTTGGGAATTATTCTATTTCCCCACCGTTATATCGGAATTTATGGCTCGAAACAGGCAGATATTTGGTCTTTGGGAATAACCGTTATTGAGATGGCAAAAGGAGAACCTCCACTTGCAGATCTTCACCCTATGAGAGTGCTTTTCATCATTCCCAGAGAGAATCCACCGCAGGTTTACTTTAATAGCCTTCCCAGTGATTTTATATGATTTGCCTCGATAAACTTGTGGACTTGAGTGGATTCACTTTTTTTCCGTTCGCAGCTAGATGAGCATTTTTCTCGCCCTATCAAAGAATTTGTGTCATTGTGTTTGAAGAAGAATCCAGCAGAGGTAGCTTTCTTGTACTTTAGCCCTTCCCTCCGCTTATTTTTTTGTCATGTGAGATGTTCTGTTTACATTTCTTTTGTGGTTCCATGAAATGCTGCTGCAACCATTGCAATTTCAAGTGCATTCATCCTTGTAAAACTGCTAACACTAGTTATAATTCATTTATAATAACAGTAGGCTGTTTTTAGGTTTCATCATTTTGTTCTGTTTTCTACTCTCTTCCTTCCGTATGGTTTACTTAAAGTCTTCAACTGTTGATCATAGAGGCCAAGTGCTAAAGAACTTCTCAAGCATCGTTTTATCAGAAATGCTAGGAAGAGTCCAAGGCTTCTCGAGAGAATCAGGTTTTGGTCTATTTTCGATCAATTTTCAAACTTTCAAACCAAAACCAATAAAAAATTTTCATGCATTTTCCCCATCCACCCTTCAAACTTCGCCACTATACTTAATGCACAGAGGAAGTTGTCAGGATATAATTACCTGCAATTGCTACAGGGATCGCCCCAAATTCCACATTGATGGAGAGGCAACTGATAACGGCCCAACTGGATTTGGAGAGGCTTCAGGAACTGTAAAAGTAACTAGAGATTCTGCAGCGGAGAGCACCATTCGGGCCAGGTCAGTTGAATCTTTTGATTTTTGGGAGTTCTCGGCTCCTGTTAGCAGATGTCATGCTGATGTCATCATCAACTAGCAGTAGTCAGGCAATGGGTCTGAAGAATACTGGATGGGACTTTAGTATTGGTGGATCGACTGGGACGGGAACTGTTCGAAGTGTAGTAAAGCCTCCTCAGACGAGGAATAGGAGGCTCGAGGTCCCATTGAACCAATCCACGTCTGAGAAAATGGCCGATGGTGGGCCCCAGAGGTTTTCTATTTCTGGACCAAATGCTCGTACTTCATCAGAGTTCTCCATGAGGAAAGATTCTAGCTATCCAGTGAAGCAGGATAACTATGATGAAGAAGTATGACATTTCTATTCTTTTGGAATCTGTACTGGATTGCTGCTTTTCTTTATTTGGATATGTTATGTTTATATTTTCTGGAAGCAGCATTATTTATATTCAGATATTTTATGTTTTAAATTTTTAATACCATTCCCAAGCATTATTCTATCATTATTATTCTCTTTATAGGAGGATGTTAGTGGGACTGGGACTGTAGTAATACGATCACCTAAAGCAGCTCGGCCCTCCTCTCCATTCAGCAACCAAAGTTTCACGGTATGAGAGGAAAAACATGTCGGCTTTGCTAATATACTTAGATTTTCTGCTTTTTACTAAGAATGGAGATTTTTTTTTTATTTAATTTTTTTTGGGGGGTGGTTTTCAGTCCAGCAGCACACTCGCCTCTGCTGAGGATACTTCCATCAGTGGCACTGTTGTTTATCGTGGTCAGAATGAAGATTCAGGTTCTCCGAGAACTGCAAAGTCTAGGCTGGGACTTCAAGATAGAACTTTTAGTGCAGTTCTTGAAGACAGTGAAGCAAACCTTGCTGAGGTTGTCTTAGATGTCAATTAATATACACACTGCCGTTCTGAAGTCACTAATTTGCTAAGTCAAGAAATAAAATGAAATATGTCACTAGAACTTACTCTACTTGATGTATATCTCATTGAACATTCTGTAGGGGATTTCTATTGCATGGACGAACTTTTAGTACTGTACTAACCAAAAAAAGTTCACTGATTTGTATCTTACACGGCTGTTATTTGAAACAAACTTATTATTTTGTTCAGGCAAAGGCTGCAATACAGGGAGGGAGAAAAGGAAATATGAGAGAAAGATCTGCATTGAGCAAGAGAGATGTTGAGGAAAGCAGAAGAACTGAGCAATCAACGACCAGCTCTGGTTCATCAAGGTTTTCCCTTATTTAACTCAGTATCTTGCATAATATGGGCGCCCATATTTTATTTTATTTTTGTGAGAAGATGCATTTGATCGTATGTAATTGTTTTCTTTTCTCTTTCGGTTTATGAAATTTGCAATCCAGCCATTCTCGTGATTATTTTGATGCACAAAAAGCATTTACAAGATCACACCACACGAGTGACGAGGAGGATAATGCAAGAAGTTCTGCAGCTGCTCTCTCAACCCCATTATCGGTTCTTCTCATTGCGTCTCTTAAAGATGTAATCCCTTGAATATAATTTAAATCTATATACATCTTTGAGTCTGCTCTTAAAAATTTGAATCACAGGAAAACGAACAAATGCATTATTCTCTTTTCTCTAAAGATGCCCTTTTTTATTTTTTTTAAGTGACACGAAATATCTGGCCGATGTTGGAAAATTTGTCTCTCCTTTTGTTACTTGCTTTAATAATATAGAAAATATAAAAACTTATTAATTAAAAAAAAATGTATGGGCATACTAGAAACGCCTAAAACGCATCAAATAAATGATTTTGAGAATTGGGGTCTCCTAATTTTCTTGCGCTTGTTCTGCAACTCAGGCAATCACTGATGATTCGAGAGGATCAATCTTTCAGGCCGTGGCCAACTCGTTAATGGATATGGAACGTCATAATCCCGGTTCCTCCGAACTACTTGTAACCAATTTGCTTCAACGATTGGCAAGGTTCATTCTCATGCTAAATCCTGATTTTTATTTGTTTTTACACTTACAAAACTGACCCCGCGTCATACATATGCCTTTCTCAACTAAGATAAATAATGTTCTTGTAGTTCAAAGGATGGGTCCCTGAAGGACCTGCAGGATCTGGCTGCTCGGATATTCGTTAAGGCAAAGACAGAAATACCTACTACAAGTTCAGAAGCTGCTGATAACAAGAAAAAACAGCAGCAGAACAAAGAGCACAATTCGAATTCCAATATGAGTCCATTGGCAAGATTCTTGCTCTCGAGGTTGGTCAAAGATTATATTCATAAATTTTTTCTGTGAGGTGGTCTAATTGTAGTCTGGTCAACCTATCATATATATAATATATATTTTTAACAAAAATGCATACTCATTCTATGAAATGTCAACATGAAAAAAAAAAAAAAATTCTATGAAATGTCACACTTTTGTTTATGTGATTTTTTAAATTGTAACATTTTAATTTGATAGTATGTGCATTTAAAAAATTTTCTGTGAGGCAGTCTAATTGTTAGTCCCCTGACCTTTTTGCTTCATCCATCTAATATAATATTATGCAGATGGCAAGGCCACGCCTCTCGGGACCTAAATTCTTGAAGATGCGTCGTCTTATTTATCGACTGGGTAAACTTCATTTCTCTGTGTTTTTTGGGTTAAAATTTGTTGAATTGTACATATCATTCAAGAAACATGTAATTTATAGAATGATGATTTTGTTATTTATTCGTTATATATTTTTCGTGTTATGTTTGCTGCCAAAGGAAATTCTGACAATTTGTCTCTAATTTGCCTTGTACTAGAACAGAAAATACACTCAAGAGTGTTTAAGATCTATTGTTTGTGATCTATATAATGTTCGATTTAAGAGAATAGAATATTTGATTATATGCCAATTTGTCAAAATGCTTTTCTCGAATCATATAAATAACGTTTAAAAGAATCAATTAAACATAAAAAAAAATTAATATGACATATATTGTATTTTCTTAAATTAAATGAAATGTAAGTTATTATTGTACAATAATGCTTCATAGAAAATGCATTTCATATGGAGGAATGAGGATGATTGGAAATGTATGAATAAATTATTAACTCTCCCATTTCAATGATTCTATCCTAAATTCAAAGTTTAGCCAATCAAAATCATTATTAAATACAAAATAAAATCATAGTTAAAGAAAGAAATAGTAATGTGAAAGATTGGATTAGCAGAATGCAGAAGTTAATTTGGTGCCTAGTCTCAGGTGATGAAAACTGAATTTACAGAGGATTTATAGCTCATGTAATGCTCCAAAATTTAATCACCAACATGATGTAACTGGTGAGTTATTCGGCTGGCTTTATTTTTCGGCCACCTTCCGGCATTCACCTCTGGCAGCCGGTTGATTCGTGGGGGTCAACTTTCTAAACGAAGCGTGCAATATAATGGCTGCAGAAGGTAAATACACTTAATAAGATAAACTTTGGCCGAGCATCGAGAGAAGTAAAAGTGTAAAACTGTAAAATCAAATGGCTCTTCAGGGCAGTATTTTCTTACCTGCGTAACTTAGGGCAAATGCACAGAAGACGGCCAACTGGACATTGGAGATGAATAAAATTACTGCAGTGGCTGCAAAGAGTAAGACATTGGAGATGAATAAAATTGTTTGTTAACACGTGCTTCTCTCTTTAAGTCGACATGCGGGAAATAACTAAACAATGTAAAGAAGCTGCAAGTGAAACCGATGACTGAAAGAAAACTCACTGCATTGTGCTAAACGGACCGATGGTTGTCTTATTAGGGGATGTCGATCAAAACCCCATCGATTGCTGCTAAGTCTAAACGTTTCCCACAAGGCCAAGCACAGGATGAGACCAACAAGAGCTAATGGCAACTGATATCTGCCACCCAAAACAATGACAACAAAAATCAGTTCAAGAGATAATTGAAATTAGACAAGCAATCAAAATTTTCAACATATTCAAAGGAAAGCTCGATTTTTTTGGCAATTTCGAGCTTCATCACATACATCAATGCCCAGAAAGAGAAAAAAATCATCAAATCCACGACATATTCGAAGGAAAGCTGATTTTTTTGGCAATTTCGAGCTTCATCAGATACAACAATGCCCGAAAAAAGGGAAAAAATCATCAAATTCACGCATTATTCAAAGGAAAGCTCGATTTTTCGACAATTTTGAGCTTTATCCCATCCACCAATGCCCAGAAAAAAAGGGAGAAAATCATCAAATTCACAACAAACTCAAAGAAAGCTCGACTTTTCGACAATTTTGAGTTTCATCACATACACCAATGCCTAAAGAAAAAGTAGAAAATTCACCATCAAATTCACAACTGGGTATGTTTATGTTATGTATGTTTATGTTGGTTGCAGATTTCCAGTTCACAATCACGCTCATCAGATGCAACAACGCAATAAAACAAAATGATAACACAAATTCAATCCACAAAGAGATAATTTATGGCTAATAAAACAAAATAATAACGCAAATTCAATCCACAAAGAGATAATTTATGGCTAGAAATGGAGGAAATTCATTACAGCGCGCAGGCGAAGAAGATGGCGAAGAGGACTGCATAGTTTTGGGCGAATCGCTTGACGTTCTCGTGGACTCGTAGCCGAGCCTGCGACGGCGAGGTCGGGAACGAATACGACTCGTACGAGCCGAATAACGCCGCTGTCCAGCTCGGCGTGGTGCCGGTGAAGTCGCCGGCGGTGAGCTTTGAGAAAGGGTTGAAGGTGGGGAGCGACAGGAGGGTCCAGATGCGAGAAAGGAGCTGCGAGGCAAGGTGTACCCCGTCGAAACCATTCGCCGCGGCGGATTCGGTGGTCCCTGCGGCGGAGAGGCGGAGGTCGGTGGTGCGCTGGTCGAGGACCTCGAGGTAGCCGGAGTCTCGGAGCCACGACTCAAAAGCGGGTTCGGGCACGCTCAGGGAGAGCGGGTTCGGGTCGAACACCATTTCTTTCCGGCGGCGGTTTGCCGGCGAACCACCGGATTTTATCACCATAGCCTTTTTGGTTTTCTTTTTTCGTACTTAGACCATCTCCAACCGAAAAACCCATACTCAAACCCATTTTGCAGTAATTGTCCCATTTTGCAGTAATTCATCTCCAACCGAAAAACTCATTCTCAAACCCAAAAGAATATTCTCAAAATATTCTCTTTTACATCAACTTTTATAACTTTTCAATACTACCCACATATTTTACAACTTTACAAATTGAACCACACTATTATTTTAAATTCAATTTGGACTTTATGTAATTAAAATTAATTATACAAAATAAAATCGGAGAAATAAGTATTCATTAAAAATTAAAATTTCAGCACACAAATAAAATTAAAAATTGCAATTCACTAATTATTGAAATGTTTTTCCTAAACCGTGATCTATCATGTACTAGTGTTATTTCAATATGTATTCGTAATTGTTGATACCCAATTTGGCTCCTATTAATTAAATGATAAACGAAATAATAAAATACGGCTACATGACCAAAGAACCGAAAATATGTAATAAATAAATATACAAGCAGGTTCTCGAGACTGATAAAACCAAAAGCCGCCAGAAGTCATAAGCGGGCCCCACGATGGTTATCTCACGTTAAATAGTGATGTATCATTTTTACTTATTTTATTTGACCACTTGTAAGAAAAAGGGTCATGTATAAATATGTGTAAAGAAGAGAGAGAAGGGGGGCTTCTTCTCATTTTTTCCATCTCTCCCAACAACAAAATGGAGATTTCTCTCCAAAATAAAAAAACAGACATTCATTCTCATTACATTTTGGTCTTCACTTTTCCTACAAAAATCGACTATTATTTAACCGTTGATCGTCCGATTTTCGACATCAACAGTTTGGCGCTAGAGGAAGGGCTCCGTAATTTGCTCGGAGTCAATTTTCGCCAAAAAACGGCTACATTTCCACCGGAAAATATCCCCTCAAAGCTTGGTATGAACACCCATGTTCTTGTTTAGTCTTTCGCCATTTTTTATCTTTCTTTTTTAGATCCAAAAAAAGATAAACCCCAAGATTTTCAAGAATCTTAACCTTCTGTTCTTCTTTTTCGATAAATTTTCGGTACATAATAACCTGAAAATCCCTCTTGACTTTGATTCATGAAACGGATAGAACCCACAAAAAATTCCTGATCTCATTCCCTTTCTTTTTTGATCTCGAATTCTCGCATTTGTGAAATTGGTGCTGTAATTTCACGCCATTTCTCTTTTTCCATTTAGTTTTTCCTTTTCTTTTATTTGTTATGAATAAAAAATTGGAGAATTGCCACTTGGTCACCATTGAGCCACGTGAGAGGCACTGTTACTGTCAGTGAGAGTCACTGTTACTGTCAGAATAATACTATTGATATCACATCATATTAATTAAACATATAAGTAAAAAAAATAAAAATAAAATAGCAAAATTCAGAACTCCATGTCGGGAGTCCAGCTTCTCGCAGGCCGATCTCGTCATCGATCCGGCTGCAGACCGGGGCATGACCTAGCCGTCCATCGACGAGTTTCGGAGCCACAGCTCGGGGCCGACCTCACGGACTAGCCCCAAAAATTCAGCACGGGACCTCACGACGCCTCCGCTTAGCCGCTGGCGCCCAACCTCGCGAGAGCCGACCTCCACAACTTCAGAGCCAAGTTTCGGGTCGACCACACCACACCGTCGGGCCAACCCCGCGATTCAACTCCGCCAGCACGACTGGCAACCTCGCCGTCTACGAATCTCCTACTTCAAAACTGCAAATTCGAGCTCGTACTTCATAACAGGTACCGAGCACGCACTTCTTCACGACCAAGTCTTCGACCACAACTACGGGTGCCGAGCTCGTACAACTTCACGACTCCACGCCGAAATCCGGGATGACCCAAATCCACAACCGTAGCCCGACGCCGAGCTCGGACCCCAACATACAAATCCGGGCTGACCCGAATCCGCCACCGTGGTCAAACGCCGAGTTCGCATAGCTCCAAAACCGGGTCTCCGACCTCAAAACACGCAACTCCACAGCCAACCGACCTCAGCCGAGATTCAACATCAACAAGTGCCGAGCTAGCCACAACACCGAGGACCTGTTCAACCACAATCATCACTGCCGACCAGGTAAGACCTCACAACAACCGACGTCAACTCTGACTTTAAATCGAACGCCGAACTCGGACTCCGAAATCCCCGTCTGGACCGACCCGACGCCGAACCAGCCCAGGTGTCGACATCGAGCCGCTGCCGGTGCCGACCTCAGAACCCAGATACCGAGCCGCGGCGCCACCCTAAAACTTCGACGTCGAACACGCCCGGGTGCCGACCTGCCGAGCCGCT